TTACTTTGGTCTTAGGTAGAGATTGGGTAGAGATTACTGATACATCACACCAAATTTCCTATTTATGCAGTATAATGCTGTTGCAGTCAAAAATACTGCTGAGTTCTCCACAATTTTCTCATATGAAGTAGTAATGTTTATAATTGATCCTGTGTACCACTTACTGTTTTTTTAAGTATATCAAAGTCCATTGTGCTGTAATAATCACCATTCTGCTGTAGTGACAAAGCATGTTGTAGAAGAGAAGTATACTATTTCTGGATGCGAACAAAATTTATCCTTTTAGTGTTTTTACTGTTTGGGCTTGAGCAAGGCAGCCTTGTGTGCCAGTTTTCAGTCTCTGTCAAGCTTCAGGTTATATTCGGATCCTGAACAATCTGAAGAATATGCTTTCTCTTTGTATCCTTTGACTTAACCAAGTTCAAAATCTATTATTCAACTGAGCACTGTAATAATTCTTCTGCCTATTACCTTATTAAATCTCAGATTATTCTATCAGGGTATGGAAGATTAACTCCAAACAAAACTGTAGGGCCAAGGGGAGAGTGTGCCTTATACAAGGATAATGAAGCCCTATAAAAATAACATCATATATTGCAGTTATTTCTATATCCTAAAAAGAAAAATAAAATTGATGTTGTCATTAAAATAGATGAATTCTGTACTTAGGGACTTAGAAACCTTTTAAGACATTGAATTTCAGGGTGCAAAACAGTATTCTGGATGTGGTCTAATAAACTCTTACATAAAGGGGATAGTGACTTCCCCCAATCTACTGGCTCTGTTCCTTTTAGTAAAGCCCAGGTTGCTGATGTCAGCCTTCTCTGCCACAGTACAGTGCTGGCTCGTGTTTGGCTCGCTGCTCCACCAGGACCCCCAGGTCCTTTTCTGCAGAGCTGCTCCCCAGCAGTCCATCCCAGCCTGCAGTGTTGCCAAGGGTTCCTCCTTCCCAGGTACAGGGCTCTGCATTTGTCCTTATTAAATTTCATGGGATTCCTGAACCTCTAGCCTGTCTGTCTAGGCCTCTCTGAGTGGCAGCCCAGCCTCCGAGTTTAGTGTAACCTGCAAACCTTAGTATACTCTTCTACATCCTCCAAGTCATTGGTAAAGATGTTAAACAGGAATAGAAATTTTTGTGCATAAGTGCAAAAACTTAACACCTTTTTTTTTATCTTTTTTGCCCATTTTATTTACAGTTTGATAATAATGTGTAATACAATCTCAAGCTTCTTCTGCATGACTACCTGCTATTGATTATTAGCATGACAGTAACATGTACATAAGGTCAGAATATCCTCTCATTTTCCTCTACTTGCACTTACCTATTGAAGAAGCAACTTTAAAAGAGAAACCAATATCATCAGGCTTTCTACAATCAGCTTTTGGTGCAATGTCTCCAAAAAAAAAAAAAAAAGGCAGTAAGATGCAGCTTATATGCTCAAGTTGAGCAGTTGAACAGAGCAGTGCTAGTATCCATCGTTTCTGTTGAAATGCATCTACAGTCCACTTGCCAAGTGAAGGCAGGGAGATGGAAGGCAAGAATTAGAAATCAGTTCTCAAACAAGCATTCTGCAGCATTACAAATTGCACAGCTGTAATGATTAAATTTTAGACAGTATGGATAATAA